CGGAACGACCAGCGAGACTACCACCCGGCGTGAGGGCTGAGCTACATCCCCAATGTCAAAGCTCTCTTGCGCGATGGCCCACCCCCATCCATCTCAAAGCACTAGGTGGGGGTGACCTCGGGACGAACAGCCCGCGCCCTGAGCATGAGCGTGGGCGGGCCGAGCCAACTGGGACCCGCAGTGGGGTCGACTAAGGCTCGAAAGTCTACTGGGGTTTGGCCCTACAAAAATGGTGGAGGCGACGGACAGGGGGTTAAATTGACCCTTGCGATTTCGACGGGGGCGCCCGACGCATTGATGTGTACACAACCCAAGATAAGAAAAATGAACTTGTGTTTGCACTTTCCCTTGTGAGAAATCAGATTTGAGGGTGGTTGGGCGCATGGCATGGCTAAGCCTGGAGGTATAACATGCATGCAATGCACTTGATCAGCCGTTCCTTTGAGGAATGGCTCTAGCCCTCCTATGTTCGGTGCTGGTGTTTGTCAGTCCGGGGAAGCCTTGGGCAAGTCGCAGATCGACCCTTCCTCTTCGTATGAAAGAAGGGCTACGGTTACCTGGCAGGCGGTTGGTGTTTGGCTTAGGCCAGGTTCCAATGAAAATCCCATGGCGGAGTGATCCAACCGAATGGGTGCTTTCCCCTTCTTCTTTGAGCCCAGCGGGCTCATGCACTTTGCACCTTTTTAATAATTGAAGGAACCAATATGAACACAATGGGTCATCAAGAAAGAACAATCCTACCCTATAAAAGGACAGACAAGTGAAGAGAAGGAAAATGAAGGAGGTGCCAGACTCCAAAGAAAACTAGCTCACCCTTGAAGATTCTCACGAGAAGGAACCAACCACTATGTATGAAAGTAGGGGGAGTGACACTCATTGTCCTGAGAGAAAATATGTGAGTTATGGGTAGGAAGCGCTGGGTGCACCAAGGGAATGGCACTTGTACTATGTGTGTCCCACTTGGGATCCCACTTGGGACTTGTGTTTGCATGATGGGATTCGAGCGTCCTGCCTTTCGGAAGGAAAGGATTGGTCTGCACCGGTCAGTGCGGGTTGCGAAACACCGTTCTCTTTTGTAGGTTGTCGTGTGTTCGTATGTGGAGGTCAGGCCACCGAGCTGTCGGATAGGAGTTTGTCACGTCAGTTGATTAGTAGCATTCTCGTTCGAGCGGTGACGGGCTTCGGCTCGATGATCCACTGGACGGGGTGTGAAATCTCCTCAGGCAGGGCTTAGCCTGTTGGCTGGCGGAGGGAGTACCACTGCATGCGGACAAAAACGGAGCCTCGGAGGCGATTAGTAGCCTCTCGTAACATGGTTTTGGGAAATGCTGATTCTTGTCGGACCGATGGAAGTGAATGCCCGGACGGCTGACTTTGTCCCTGTATTTAGGTACTCGAGATAACCCTCGGTGTCGGTATGGATGTGCAAAGCGGCAAGACGGGATGGGGTATTCTGGGTTAGGAGGAAAGGGCGAATGCCTTGCCGAGACCTGGGTACCGCGCTCGCAACGGTTGAGCTGCGCTTGAGGTATGGGATAAAACTCTACCGATAGTACCAGCGGAGAGACCATATTGGGATGGCCGGTGAGGAGATGACCGGCCCGTATGTGAGGTTGCCTGATTTTTTTTCTGTGTTCCCCCGCTGTAAAAATTGATTGAGCTTGGACTGTTGGACGGGACATATCTCTAAGTCTATTCCCCCCCCCCCATCTAAGTCCGCACGAGTGAGAGATGATCGGAAGGAAGGAGGATAGAGGTCAATTGGAATGGAACCAAGAGAAAGAATGTGGGCAAATGGATGGYCGGCCGAGGGAATTATAGGAAGGAGGTACTTAGGAATGGGGAGGTAAAATAGGGAGACCTTGATGAGGGGTCTGAAATAATTCTCATCTAGGACAAAGGTTGACCTGACCAAAAGGATCGGTTGGTGCCTTTTTATGAAAACAGGGGTCGGGTGCTGAAAACAAGATGGCGCGATGGTTGCCTTCCTCGATCTATACTAGCGGCCCGGAAATGCCAGTAGATGTAAAGGATGGGGTATCGGTCGTCCTCCCGGAAAATGGGACGTGGGAGGACCTTGAACTAGCGTATCAAACGGTAATGCAGGAAAGAGAGGATGCTTTTCTTTGGATAAAAATAGTATGGGTCAATGTCAGCTTGACCAGGTTGTCGCCAAGTTTAATGGATTTGGAATTCCGAGGAACAGTGGAAGCCCGGGGGTGGGTCTACTTGTCGCGAGATGGGGAGAAAGCTAGGATCATAGAGTTGGCACTCGGGAATACACGGGATGAGTTGTTTAGGAAGGCAGAAGCAGAGGTTGTGTGGGCTGCATGTCAACGGAGGGAAATGGAAATGGAAAGGGTAGATGTACGGGTGGAACTCGGGGACCGGGAAAACATGAGACGTCCTCTTAGGACAATGAGGTGCGTGCTACCTCCGTTTCTGGTGGCGGCAGTCTTTGGGACCAGGGATAGACTGGAACGTATATGCCAATCGATGACACGCCTGAGGCTGTACCAATCTGCTAGATAAGACTTCTTTAGATTATCGGTGGAGGCAGGGCCGTTTGAAGGAAACTGGGCGAAAGAATTAACTGAGGTGCTAAACCTCCTCGGCGCGGATAAAGTCTTTGTTCCTAGTTCGGTGCATTGGCAGATAGTCTATTGAAACTTGGCAGCAGGGGAAACCTTCTTGGAAGGGGTAAAGGAGATGTTCGTAGACGAGGAGGAGGATTTCGGTGATGAGGAGGACGGGGACAAGATAGAGGACTGAGACTTCTGAAGGGGGGGACTTACTCGGGGAGAACGGGTTGTCAACCATATGCAAGTAGGGAGCAATGAACCGGGAACTCGAGCCATGGGATTGTACATGGGAACCAAGACGAATCAGAAGGGGAGTAGAGATGTCAGTACCGCCGAGCTATGAATGGAAGGGGACCACATGTGATTGGCGGGGGTATGAGATTGTGTCGGAGCTATCGTACCTATGGATAGAGCGAGTCTGGAACCCGTTGAGGGAAGAGGAAGGATGGGAAGAGATTGCAGAAGGGAGGGTGGAATCAATCGGGACGATTGTTCTCTCCGAACAAGGTTGGCACCTGTTCTGCACAACGCTCGCGGCAGGACAGGACCCGATGTGGCTTTTAGGGGACGCTGAGGCAAGGGCTCGACAGGCGGGGGAAAGGTTTGCTAACAAGGGTTGGGATACGGTCAGCAGTAGAGTCGTGATGGGAGGAAGGAAGGAATTTAAACCGCCTGGCACCCGAACCAAGATCTGGGTGCCGGAGTTCGTGGCGGACTGGTTTGGGGGCTTTGAACATGTAACAGAGGTGGCAGACACGATGGAACGAACACACGTGGACTGCGCATGGCTGGCAGAGGAATTCTATAGGACGTCCTTGAAATTCAGGCCCTTCCACGGCGATAGAGCCCGGGACGTTCTTATCATTTTGGAAATCGAAAGGAATGACAGACAGGAGGTGGCCCCGGAAACTAGGGAGGCCATAATCCGCCGTGAGGTGGCAGCAACACCCTGTTATGTGGACAATGTGTTCAAACTGTTCGAAGAGCCGTGGGGCCAGGCAAATATGGGAAAAATTGCAAAGATAAGGGAATGGGATGTCTGGTCATTGTAGGGTTCAGTGTGGATCGCGAGAGAGAAGACCAAGGACAAGAGCGCAGATGGCGCGAAGAAGGACGTTTCTTGAGGACCGTCCGCTGGGCATTGAGCCGCCCAGGGACGTGGATGGTAGGATAGAAATTAGCCTGCCCACCACAAATGAGGGATGGCACCCAGTGGTGGATTGGGTCGGGGTTGAACTTGTGGAAAACATGGTTTACCTAGTGACGAGGGTTGAGTGGCGTGCGGATGAGAATGGGGAATGGAACTCGGACCCGCGGGGACATGTGCGGGCGGAAGGGCGTAGGACGGGTGGCGGGAGTTCGGAGTCCGGTTGGCATCAGGAGAAGACCCGCTGAGTATGTTCGAAGGGGCATGGCAATTAGTGTGGCAAGCGGGTTTCAAGTTCGCGGATCCAGGAGGCGACGATGTAACGGCGGACCTTAGGGTAGCCATGGTCAGGAGTTTTGAATTGCCTAGTGCGAATGTGCGGATGAGACTGCCGTCCTTTTTGCTGGAAAGGTTGGGCGGTCTGGGACTTGTTAAGACAAGCGGTCGCCGACCTTGCGAGTCTGACATATGAAGATGCGATGGTACGTCGAGAGTATTATCGGGCCTTCCCAGAAATGGGGCCGTTTAGCGGTGAACAGAAGTATGAGGTGTTGCGCATCCTGCGTGCTGTGTTTGGCACTAGGCCAAGGGCTCCGGTCGTTGGTAGTGAAGTCGTGCGGGGTGTCGTTCGACGGGAAATAAGCCAAGGGATGGCATACGTGGATGATCTATACCGATTGTATGAGCCGCTGAAAGCAGGAACAGGTCGGTAATAGGGTCGAAAGAAAGGGGAAGGAAAAAAGGGGGAAAAGAAGCGCCAGGCTAGGGACCGAAGAGTTGTTCGGGCGGAGAACTGAAGACCAAATGAAATAAGTAAACTTGCTTGCTGTTTAAAACTGTGCAGGGGATTTCTAAGTCCAAAATGGCGATGAGACGCGCCCGGATGTCACGACGGCCCACGTACCCGCGACCACCCACGGAAAGTGGAGGTGGATGGGAGGTATCGCTTCCAGCAAGCTACATGGTCTGAGGACTGGATACCGAATGGAGGGCCGTGACCTTGGGAAGGGATCAGACGTTCATGATGGTGGAATGTTTGTGGGATGGTATGAGGATTAATAGGGGACCAGGGGACGATCTGTACACTGACCTTAGGGTGACGGGGACTATATACCTGCCGGAACTAGGGTGGTACATGTTAGGAACGGAACTGGCGCTAGGGCACGGTTTGTTACCAATCTTCCAGAGGGCTACTAGGGTGCTGAACCGAGTAGGCCAGGAAGTGCGAGGGAGAAGGAATGTGGGACTTAGAACCCGGTTGGAGATAGGAGGTTGGCGGGAATTTAAGGCCCCAATGACAGCGCTGAGGTGTCGAGTGCCTCGCTTCATGGTGGACCTGGTGTTCGGCAGCCTCGCAAGGGCGAGGGATCTGGTGGATTCGACCCTGGTCTGCATTCACCACTTCCGACCACAGACAACAGGAATGTTTTACGATGTGTCGGTCAGGCATGGGCCGTTCTGGGGAAATCAAGCCTGGGATTTACTAGACCTCATTGAAATTTTGATATTCGGGTTGCCTCGCTTGACGTTTGAGGAATATGAACCAATAATCGTTAGGGAAATAGGGATGGGAGAAAACTACCTTGCCGGGGTGGCTGACCTGTTCGAGGAACCAAACGAACAAGGCAGGCCTGAAGGACCAGCGTGAGGAAATGCGCCAAGGAAAGGCGGAAAAAATAGAGGATGGATATTAAGATAGGAAGGTAGCCATCAGCAGAAGGGGGCTGTGGTCGGAGTTCCACCATACCCAAAGATGTGGCAGGAGGGAACTGGGAAGACCACCCGCGCTGAAGGACGTTGGGGCATCCTTGAGGAGAGCCGCTAGCCCCAGACACCGCCCTAAGGGACCAGGGCACGACAGTGACAAAACGCCAAAGCTCGGCAGCAAGCCTTCCGACAGAAGCAAGATAGAACGGCGCCGTGTAGGAAATTGTTGGGTAAGTCGTCCCGACAAAATACGACGGGAAAACAAGGAAATAAGTAAGAATGAGGGGACCCTAGGGGCCGGGAACTAGGGAAGCTATGAACAACCGGCCGTTTCGCAAAAAAAAAAATTACATGTGCAGGGTAGGTAAAGGGATGGCGTTGGAAGAAGAGGCTGAGGAACTGCGAAGCGAAGGAAGTCAGGGCACGGGTAGGGGTACGGAACGAAACGAAGCGTCAGTAAAGGATCGAGAGTCAGCGAAACCAGAGGGAACTAGGGAAGATGGGAAGGATCTTTCGACGGGCGAAAGTTCAGGGAAAGCCGGGGGTAGCAAAAGAGGACCTCAGGAAAATAGGGCAGGAAGGGACAACGAAAGGGCGAGTCTTCGAAACTCCGGGGGAACCACGCCCAAGAAAATGAAAGTCTCGGATGCACGCCGTAAGTTGGCAGAAATAGAAAGGCGGACTGCGGAATATAAGGCGAGACTTATCTAGCAAATGATGGTTGGGAATGAAGAGGATCCCCAGGGGGAAGGGTCACAAGAGGGACGCAGGACCAGTCAGGGCGAATAGCCGGACCAGTGTAACAGACATAGTATATATGGCAGCATATAAGTGACTCGCTAAATATAGAAAGGGGGCGCCTCGCGTGTGCGTTTTTGTTGCAAGAACCACCAGGATGACGTCTCGGCAAAATTCGACGGGCCGAAAGGGTTTCGTAACTTTTTAGGAGCCAAGGCATGATGAAAAATCCCTAGGAAGTCGAGAGAAGGTATCAACCAGCGGGCAACCGGAATCGAGCAAGGCATGGGTGTCCGAAATGGGGGGATAAGCGGTTCTGCTTGTCTGTCCTGCTTGTGGCATTGGTAAGAGAGACCATCGAAACAGTAGCACAGGTAGAGGGCGAGAAAACATCTAGGGTAGGAAGAACCCTAAAGTGCACAAGGAAGCGGGAGGACAAGCATTAAGCTGATTTGAAGACGAGAACATTTCCCGAACTGATAGCGATAGGAAAACTGTGAGAGATGGATTCTAAAACAAACTCTCCTTCCTTCGATTGTATGGCATGCAGGTCTGATACGTTATGGACGTCGCAAGCAACCGAACGGGCCGGAGAAATAAACGTAACCGGGTAGGCAACATGGATGGTCGGAATCCGGGGGAACAAGACGGTAGCATAAATGTCGACCGACGATTCAACAGCGAAGGGGTTAAAGGCAACGTGAGGTGGATTTTGGAAAAAGGGAGTTATACCGGGAGGAGGCCTGCAGAATATCGGGGAATGAGGCCAATCGTAGTCGGAAATACGGAAGAGTCACAGACCTCGGTGGGTGGAGTGACAAAGAGAAGGAAGGTAGCAGATACCCTACGAAGACTTAAGAAAGTGGAGCAGATGATAGCAACTTACAAGGCTGGTGTAATTGAAGAAATGATAAAAGACATTGAGGGTGAGGATGACGATAAGCTACACAATGATGAGTGGCAAGGTGAGATGCAACAAGAGCGCATCATTGGGAAGCCTGGTGAATGGGGGACGGGCGAAAACGCGGGGGAAAAAGAGGGGGTGCGACCTTCCAAGGTAGGAACCGCAAAGGAAATAAGGAAGCCAGGAACGGACCATCGAACGAGCCAGCAGACAGGGGGACAATCCTTGTCAAATGAAGACTATAGTGAGTTGTGGAATCTAAGGGAGAGACTCACAGGCTGGCTCGACCAAGAAAGGGAAGACGGAACAGAGAGTCGCCAGCGAAACAACGAAGGGTTCGAGGTCTTAGAAACAACCGGGTACGGAGTGAAAAAGGGGTCGGTAGAGTTGCACGATCAAGGCGAAGGGGCGGACAACCAGAGGGAAAGGATAGGGGATACCCTTCGGATGGTGCAAACCCGCGTATCTCGAACTCCGTTGGTGCCCCAAGAAGCTCTAGCTCCAAGACCCGAGCGCCGAACCGGTCGGAGAGATCCTTCGAAGGAATCATGTCGATATTGCACCTTGATGGGACACTTCGTTAGGCTTTGCCCGAAGCTTAACCATGATATCATAGGAGGGCGATGTTCTAGGAACCTCAAGGGACAGATTCTGGGTCCTAACGGAGAAAGGGTTGACTGAAATTCGCACGGGGGTATGAGACGCGTTGTAGCGACATTAAACAACCTAGACCTTTCGGTAATGGAGAAAGAGGAAGTGGGCGAGCTTTGTTGAGGGCCGACATGTAACCACGAGAAGAAGCGGGGTCGTGGGTAGGACGGGACCGCCGCTTGAGAAAGGAGGGACGGACACGACTGGACCTCAACAACAAGAGGGCACCAAGATGAGCGATGCGACGTGAGGACCGGAGGTTGTGAGGGCAAGGGTGGTTGAGGACAAAAAAAAAAAGGGGTTTGAGGAGATCATCACCAAGCTATCGATACTTATTGCGAAAGAGAGGCGGAGGAAGTAGCCAAGTTGGAAGAGAAAAGGAGGACCGTAGGCTGATAACTGTAAGGGAATATTACGAAGTGGCATAAGGATTTTGGGCAATTACGTAGCCAGTGGTTTTATCAATGGTTTAATGTAATACCTGGGCCATCAGGGTCGGAAGAGAGATGAGGAGGGGCGAGTTGGTCACAGTGTCGACTTTCCACGGTGAAAGAGTACTTGAGGTGTTCGCAGGAAGGAAAGGATAGATGTTCTTGATTATAAGTTAAGCTGGGATACGCCCCGCAATTGAAGGTACTTGAAGAGGCTAGGGGACAAGGGATCAAGAAGGAAAATTGAGGCGCGGCAAGAGAAACCGTGTAAACAAGTTGAATGTGGGATAGAAGATGGGGAACTGGTCATCTCGGCCGTCTTTTGGGATGTGGTCTGGATTATGCGAAAGTTTGACAAGGGCAAGACAAACTGATGCCGATCTCTAGATGTTACCTCCCGCGCAAGTTATTTTGAGATATTCAAGTACTGGCTGAGACGTTGAGATAAGGACTGATGGCAACAAAAGAGAGTAGGCATGACATGAGTTTGACAAATGTCTGTTAGGAACATCAGTGGTAGGGCGTGGCTAGTGGGAACCAGACCGTTAAAAATGAATGGGGCAGGGACTAGTCGAGATTTGACACGGATGAGAAAGTTTTCGATCCTCCTTTTGTTGACAAGCTACCTTGGAGGGTTTTTGCAAGACAAGGGTTGACAAGAAATATTGGTATAGGATTAATTGGGGCGGTTGTATTTGGATCATGGAAAAAACAAGGATTGTATTTTGAGGAAAAGACTATGAACTTGGGTTGTTGAGCAAAGTCAGGCAGTGAATGTTATCTAAGTATAAGAGAGGTTAGGGGACTTATGGGTAAAGAGGCACGTAGAGCCTCTTCCCTAGGAGCCTAATCCAACTGGTAAAAAACAATTCTGCAAGCAATGAGGGGCACGAGAGGTTGGAAGGAGAGAGGAAACATTGATTAAGCAAGCACCTTCCGCAATGGTTGAACGACCGGGCGGGCTAGTGCTACCTGGGGCTGCGAGCCCCAACCCGAGCATTATACGCTAAGTCGGATGTATGTATAGATATGAGAACGACAAATGACACAAGAAAGAGGAAGAAGCATGCGTAAAAAACCAAGATGATGCCCACCCTCTAACCCCTGAGACGAGAATAGAATCCGTGTCCTCGAGGCCCATCCCCTCGGGCGCTAACATTGGAAATGGGTAAGGATGGCCCTAACCAGGCTGTCCGACTGAAATGGATAAGGATGACCCTAACCAGGCTATCCAATGGAAATGGATAAGAATGGCTCTAACCAGGCTGTTCGACTTGGAATTGGAAAGAACGATCCTAACCAGGTTGTTCGGAATGACCCCTGACAAGGGTCATTCTTTGGAATTGGCACTGGGGTCCCTTTGCATAGTTGCTTGAGAGGCATGAGATTGGAAAGAGCTGAGCCTTGGAAAAGATATTGGACTGAGCCTTGAAACAACCTTGGAAGTTATATTGGACTCAGCCTTAGAAAAGATATTGGACTCATCACTGGAAAAGATACTGGATTGAGACTTGGAACTGGATTGAGCCTTGGTATTGGACTAAGTATTAGAACCTGATTGAACCTTGGTATTAGACTGCGTATTGGAACTGGATTGAGTATTGGAATGAGATTGAGTATTGGAATGAGATTGAGCCTTGGAATTTGATTGAGCATTGGAATTGGATTGAGCCTTGGAATTGAAATGAGCATTGAAAATTGCATTGCAAAAACAGGGGACCCTAGGCAACTTGAAATGGACTTGGAAATAGCCTTGAAATGGATTTTTTTTTTTTCTAGTCTTTTGGCCTCAGCAGGAGGGGGATACCGGTACTCGCACCGCGACCTCAAGACCTCTATCCCTGTAAGGGAAAAAGTCTCAGCGCGACCTGTTCCTCTTGTAAGGGGATGAGGGTTAAAGGACCAAGGCACCTACCACTTGGATCGGTGCGGGACGTTCAGAATTGACCCCGGCAACGAGCTCTAGTCGGGAAGTTCAAGTTGCGCCTCGTGTTGAACGCCTAAACGTCAAAGGGTAAGAGAACCAAATGGGCTAGAGAGCCATTCTTTTCTAGTCTCCTTCGTTCTCCCCAACCACACGCCATGCCGTTGAGAGGCGGCACGGCTGCTTGGAATGGACCACGGCGGCTCGCGTTAAGTTGAGCAGCACTGTCCAGAGGGAGGAATTGGGCGTGGTACCGGGTGGAAGCCACAACCACCAGGGGGCATTGACACCGCCCCGCCGAAGCATTACAACCGCTTCGGGACTAATTGAGAGGTCTTCGTAACTGCACTCGCGGACTAATTGAGAGCCCCAACTCTCTTGAAAGAAAGAGGCCGGATCCAGAAAATTACCACTCGGGAGGAACGATTCGCGAGGAACGCTCGTACGGCTAGACGACGCCCTCAAAGGCTTGGATTGGACCTGCCTGCCAGACGTGAGGAGGAACCTCAGTATTGGTGCTCGCCACGTGAGAGAAAAAAAGGTCGGACCGAGTAGGAGGATGAGGCGTCACCCGCTGGGGAGGAACTGATCACTCTTCCTTTTGTGAAGCGGATGGGCTTGTGTCCTTGACTGCTGTTGGTGGGCCAAAGGTCTTACCTCCGAGTGAGAACCAGTCGCGCGATGGGGACATTTCGTTTTGAGTGGGGGGAAGGTGTGTCATCCGCCAATGAAAACGCATGCAAAAGAATTGTGTAATTGGCTTTGCGTGGGCCTGAGAAAAAGGGGGTCTGGCAAGATGCCCAGAACAGAAGAGAATTGTGTAATTGGCTTTGCGTGGGCCCGAGCAAAAGGGGTCTGGCAAGATGCCCAGAAGAGAAAAAAAGACTTGTGTGGTTGATTAAGCATGAGCTTGAAATGGGTCGGGCGATACGTCCGAAAAGGAAAAGACTCGTATGATTGACTTTGTATTGATCTGAGAAAAAAGACTGGCAAGCTGGAAAACGGAT